TCCTCTGAATAATGTGTCATCTGATTGCACTGCTCTTCTTAAGTAATTCACTTGTTCCTAACATGCAAAATCCACACAGAAATGGCAACTGACCCAGCCGAGGCTCGAACCAGTGACCTTGCTGTGAGGCGACAGCACTACCTACTGTGCCACCACTTCCCCCACGTTCATTTCTTACACATTACAAAACCAAAAGACTTTTTTTCAAGTGCACTTGGTTCATTTAACAGTAAATATTTCAAGCTTTATGTGGATATATTTCTTATGTCTGTGAAGTAAGTATTCGCTGAGATTTTAGTACGTTTGTTGATCACCAAACTGTCATAAAAGCACACATTTGGTCTGAGCTTTTCCCCTGGAGAAATGTCCGTCTATATCGATCGCTGATAGGCTCCTGTACTAGTAGGCAGTGCTTCAATCGCCATATTGACCATTACACTTTTCCCCATTCAAAACTATACGAGTGACATGTCTATTCTTTAGTCCTTGACTGTAATCAGGTTTATTTAGAAATAAGACTGTGAGTGTTTGAATCAAGCTGGTAATTTTCAAAAGATTAATCATGTAGCTCTAGCAAGAATAAATCATTTTATCTTGTGTTAAATGGTAACCAATACCACAACTGAGACTATTCACAGGCCCCCAAAAAGACTGGCTTAATTATAGTCATGTGTATTTACACACATTAATAACAAAAATAACCTCTTACAATGAGAAAAAAGTGTAAACAATCATTTTAAAGTTGTATTCACAAAATATTGATCAAATACAGTACATAATCTTAACTATAATGCATTTAATTATATTGTAAATATTTAATTATATAGTATATGACCAAATGACCAGAGTGGTCTGAATGCACCTGAAATCAGTCATCAGTAAGCCCATAGGGAATCTGTTAATTTTTTTTATTAAATAAAAGTTAAAAAGCTAATATTTTTTATTTCATATATTAAGTTTTTAGTAATTATACTCCTAAAATGACTGCACATAAATTTGCAGATTTTTACAAAATACTATGCAGAAATAGCAAAAAATGTCCACAGATTCTGTCTGGCCCTAGTCATCAGTTACTTATTACACATCAGTTACAACTTATTGCTTTAAACATCCCAGGAGGACTTGAACACCTCATTACAGACCTAAATCCATTGTAACTCATCTTCATCTGGCATATATATACACATTAGTGCCTATAACTGGTCTCAGCATTAAAAGTTTCATTTGAAAGATGTGTATTTATTACTTCAAATATTGTTTACTGTTAATAAACTGTACAAGTGCTGGCACATGAACAAAGTTTCCAAGAAGTCTGTTTGAGGTTTTGCCATGGAATAGGGATACTATAAACTGTTCATGTGGGCTGTTTTTTCAACCTTTCAGATGTTTCAGAAATTACATTTGAAACATTCTTGCATTTAAATGTTTTATATTCTAATGATAAACTGTGCTCGGTGTTAAGTTTTGGGAAAGATTGAAACTTATAAAGACAATTTGAGCTCCTGTGAGTTTCTCTTTCAAAATTAGATATATAACTATATCACAATAGTCTAGAACTATTAAATGGGTATGGTAGGTATGGAAGTGAAATAAGGAAGATAAAGTAGTCTTTGTTCTATTTGTTACTCAGAACTTTTAACCCATGCGGAAGATACTTTGTTTTGTACAGTCAGTCATTTTGCACATTAATAGAGCAATCCATAAATGGGATGGAGGAAGCTGAGAGCAAATGAGAAGCAGATTTTTTAAGATAAATGGCACACTCAGTTTCATAAGCAGCTGTTCAAAACAGTTGTTATTTTGTGGTGTTTGTTGCTACATGCTGTTGGTCTCCTGATTCGTCTCTGGTTACAAATTTCTAGATGGCACAACTGCATCTTTGTACTGCGGAATTCTAATACAATTCAGTTTCAGTTGTAGAATCCCTCAAAGTACCTTTAATATTTAGAGCAATTCCTAATCTAGCACTCCAATCTCATGGGAGAGTTTCACAACATCCATCTTACAGACGTGAAACTCTGTGGCCTGTTCTCTCAAACAAACGGTTCCAGGGAGCTGGGAATATTTAGGGAGTGAGAAAATGTGAACGAAACACAAGAATCATCAAACATTCTTTTAGTGACAGATTCTTTAGCCAGACCTCACAAACCCTTCACAAACATCTGGGCAACGCTGCAAAAATAAACTCATTAATTCATTCATGTAAACTAAAACAAACACAGATCCGCCCACCTCTGCGTCTCTGTGTATGTTCAACCGTAAAAGAGAAAAGTGTGCCAGTGTGTGTATATGAATGCTTGCGGGTGTGAAAGCAAGTGAGTGAGGGAAACCTTGTGTCTCCTCTTAAATCAGCACACACATTTCACAGACCAGAGGTCAGGAGTGACCCACCAATAGACCCCACAGATCCGCACACACACTTTCTGCCCAGCTGCTGGCATATGCAGGCCATTTCTCATTTCCCATTTAAAACATAACATGTTCCCTCCAGACCAATCCATACAGCTCTGACAGCTTGATGAGTGTGTGCATGCTTTAGCCTTTTTGGTGGGCAGAATGATCAACAGGCGTTCTAAGAACCGTCAGTTGTGAAAATTTAAACATATGTAGTCCAAGTGGACAAATCTCTAGGCCGATCATTATCAAAGTTAATAGCCCGTCCATGGAGAAGAACACAGGCCGATTACATGCAATCAGAGCTCCACGCAGGGACTGTGCGCGCATTGGATGACCGCAGTAAACTCTGCACAGATGCGCTCCAGTCACGCACTCACACTGCTGGAGGGAAACCGGACACTCGACTCAGTTTCTAATCATTAATGAAAACTACTTAAGAGGCACTGATAAACAATTAAACTAACTACTGCTACACATTCATGTCACCACCTTAACCCTGGGGTAAAACGAATTTAACAAAAATAAAAATTTCCAGTTAATTTATTCACCCTAAGGTTAATAAGATGTAGCCGTCTTATTTCTTCTGAAGAAACTAGAAGACCATTTTTAGCACAAACCATCGTTTTTGGACATGTAAAATGCACGTCAACAGATACCAGAACTTTTAGAGTCAAATAAACATTCATTCATTTTTCCTTCGGCTTAGTCCCTTTATTCAGCAGGGGTCACCACAGTAGAATGAACAGTCAACTTATACAGCATATGTTTTACACAGCGCATGCCCTTCCAGCCACAACCGAATACTGGGAAACACCCATACACTCTCACATTCACACACATACATTAGTCAATTTAGTGTATTCAATTCACCTATACCGTGTCTTTGGACTGTGAAGGAAATCAGAGCACCCAAAGGAAACCCACACAAACACGAGGAGAACACGCAAACTCCTCACAGAAATGCCAACTGTCCCAGCCGGGATTCGAACTAGTGACCACTGAGCAACCGTGTCACCCTCTAATAAACATATTCAGGCAAAATAAAATTTGCAGCTATTGACTCCTGGTGTAACATTTAGGACTTAAATTGAGCAAAGCAACTAGATGATAAAACATTTTACACTATTACCTGTAATCTACAGCCTCAGCAAAAGGTCCTGATCACATTCACACATAATGAAGTGTGCGCATGTGAGTTTCACAGGCAAAATCACACCAAAATCACAACCTGAACCTGCTCATTTTAATCTTTCTGATACAGTTCTCAACATCCAGGATATGTAAAAGTAGGAAACATTTTCTTGTAAAAAAATTGCAGATATTGTTAAACAGTCCAATTATGTTGCTTCATAAGACTTAATGTATCATGGGTATTTATTTTGCCCTTATGTTTTTTCCTGTGCAGTTTTAGCTAAAAATCTTATTTAATGTACTAAAGAACAAGTCGCCTACATTCTGGCTGGCTTGATGGTAAATTAACATAAAATATGGCTGAACTATCCCTTTAAGCAAAAATAATCTTCATTTCTTTGCCTACTCACAAAAGCTACTGCATGATAAAGAAACATTTTTTTTTCTTTTCATTCACTTGTGTGGGTAAAACGCAAAGTACACCTGCATACGTTTAACATCTGATGTTGTGTTCCTGTGAATAAATAAGCCATATAATGTACGCATTTGGGTTGAAGAGTAGTAGTTTGATAAAAGTCTGACCGCGGGGAGGTGTGCGCGCGCCAGGAGACTTTGAGGATGGGAGATCCCGGAGTATAAACAGCTGAAACCCGGAGTCCTGACGTAGCGTTTTCCCACAGTTTAAAAAAAGATCTGCCACAGCATCTCTCTGGAAGTTCAATGCCATGCAAAGACGGAAACGCCACTGCAATCGTGCTGAATAGGGCTCTCAGGTTTAAATCTGATAAAGTCACCAAGGGACTGCGCACAAGAGGCAATGGGCAAAGCAGGATGCGTGGAAAGCAATTTAAATGCGAAAAGCGACAAAAGAAACGGCTTACTGGAAACAATATTATAAGAATTTTTTATCCATCTTCCGCCTTGTATTGACAAAATATATTAATACATAAATATAAATATCTAGTGAACATTATTGCATTTTGTTCTACAACTTTGTCATGTTGAGCATGCTGCAACACAATAATTCCGTTAATAAATCACATTGTGACGAAAGAAAAATGGGTTTTGAGCATTGTTGAAATGTTTAAGATTTTTCATAGTTTTCTATATACTGCAACAATGTACAGGTTTTAGATTGGCATTACGCCATCATTCGAAAACTTAATATCACAGACTGCATTAAATAATAGTCATAATGAGTCGTGTGTCCCTGGTTGCAGTAATTGTGTCACGTAACGTTATATTGTGTAAAATAATTCACACACACGATGGCGATGGCAACATTAACCTTCTCACTTAAAGAGTGAAAATAGAATATCATTAACTAGCACACTTAAAGCACTAGACTCTCCTCACAGGAGCCGAACAAAGCTTAAACAGATCATTTACATCTTCATTGAGTCATCTTTGGCTTTGCGTTTGATGAATACTCATTAAAAGTTAAATTATCCAGATCCAAACATTTGGCTTACCTTTGTGTGTCAGGCGAAGACGCGGCACGTTGACTTTAGTACAGGAGCTTAACGGCAGAACCAACGCCACCAAAACCACAACCGGTAATTCCATGCTGAACAGACCACTTTCAGTTTACCTTTCTTCACGTTATACTTTAGCTTTTATGAAGTCTTCTTTCAGGCTTCCTCATATAAAAGTTTGGACGAACTGCGCACACAAAAGGGCGCTGGACATCCACAGGTCCCTAAATGTGAGCAGGTCTCAGGTAACGTTAGGTTAGCTCTCTGCCCTTGTGCAGTTTTTCCACACAGCTCAAGCGCGCAAGTCTCCCTTTCTCTCTCTCTCCCTCTCTCTGTCTTGTCTGTTGCTCTTTCTCCCATGTAGTTCGTCCGTTAAGTCCCGAGAAACGCGTTCCCGCCCTCTCAGCGCCTCGAGAGCGAAACGTGTCCCCCGGTACTCGCCTTCAGTTCCTCTCTTTTGCGCTTCTTAGTGCCACCAAGGGCACAGTTTGCTAGTTCTCGGAAATCTTTCTATTTTTATCTACTTGCATATGCCTTTATAAGCGTTTAAAGTTGTTAGCGCACAAACAGTAGTCGCGTTCGCGTGAGGATGTAACCATAGCAACAGCAGGCGGCACGCGCGCTTTCCTCTTAGCTTCACGAGACAAACCTCAGAAGGATAGACTGCTACTACACCCAAAATACTGACAGTAGCATCATTCAAAAGCAGAGCATGAAAAGCATCGAATAATTCATACGCTGCCCATGGCTTCTCTCCAAACAACCAATTCAAAGGTATTACACATCTGCAGATGAAACCGTTGGGAGGAACACAAAACATTGACTTGGAAAATTATGCAGCCCACACTGAAACGAGTTTAGATCCGTCATAAATCAAACTAGCTTAAAACGGCTTAAAGCTACTTAAACACATGAGAACTGTGCCTGAGAAAGATTAATTTTGACCATTAATCACCATTTCCTTATACAAACAATTTTTTAGATACGAAATCACATGTAGGCCTTACACATGAGCTGCATGGTAGCTTGTTTTACACTTTGAGTCATTATGGCTATTGTGGCTAAAACTAGTATTTATGATGGATCTTTTTTCGTTTAAGCACAATGAAATGAAGAAAAATGCTTAGTAAATTATTTATATTTAAGAACAAGCTAAACACTTCAAATAAGAACAAGCTAAACACTTCAATACATTTAGGAGGACTGTTTATCTTATCTACCTTAAGTACAGAAACTTGTTTCTACCATGTTTAACATAAAAATAGGCATTTTATCTCAATACTGAGTTAACGACTCTGAGTTCTGAGGAGAACAAAAAGTCTAAACATTGAGGTTTAAACATACAATGATGACTCTTTCTTGCAATTCAGAGATGAGATCCTGTTGATCTAAGTTTATATCTTGTAATTCAGATTTTATTTCTCAAACTTCTGAATTCACAGTTAATGGGCTATATGCACAGCAAGTGTTTTTAAGCCACTGAGAAAAATTTCATAAGGTTCCTTTTACAGCATCAATGTTGTAACCTGATTAAAATATAATCAATTAAATAGACTTAGGCATTCATTTAGTTGTTCAAGCGTAAAACGAGATGAAAGGCCATTTTAATGCAAACGGGGCAGGAGCAGAAGCAACGGTAAATTCAATTTCCATATTTTAAAGACATGATGCGGAACAATCAAAATTTAATTCAGTAGTTCTTGTCCCATCCGATGTCCACTTTGTATCATGTCTCAGTCAGTTTTAATTAAATCAGATCTTAAAAGGGGTGATTTTGTAATGGTATGACAGTCACCAGAAGTACTTGAGCTGTCTTATTGAAAAATTTCAAAACCTGTGTCCATATAGCCCATTAAAAAGTGCCATGTTGCAACTACAAAAAGTGGCATGCTGCTATATTGCGTATAGCCTGCCTCAAAGCTATATCACAAAATTCAATTCTTTTTTTCTTTTTTCTCAAAACCACCAGATATAATGTTGGTATTAGTCAAAATTGCAGGATAAACGATCCTGAGGCAAAAAAAAAGTCAGGAGTGCAGGATGTTAACTCACAGTTGCAGTTAGTTATGTTTCCATTCACCTGTTTTTATGTGCATTTTGGATATGTGCATTAAAAATGGTTGATGGAAATGGCAAAATGTGCATAAAATTTTAAAAATATGCATAAAAATGTATGCACATAATTGATCAACTTTTTATTCAATAAGAAAAGATGCTTATAAGCTACAATAGAAACACTTTTACCAAACAAATTCCAGTATGCACATTAAAAAAGTCATGTGATTTTGTTATAAGAGATCATGTGATTATAAAATTGTGTGTGGATGGACAAACCTGCAAGGCTAAGCACATTGTAAAACATCTGAAATGTTTGGTCATTCTAAAACACAATCATTTTGGTATTAGAGATATTATATTATTAATGTCCTCCAGAACTGTCAAGAGCGTCTATGCTCGCCATATCATGCCTTCAAATGCCACCACACATTCATTGCATGTCAGCATTGTCTTCTGAGGGGCAATTTATTAAATGAAGAAAAGATTCACACAGATTCTCCTAGTAAATTCCATTTTTACTGTTGATATTTGATGGCAGTTAATTAAGTGATGATTTTGTTCTCTTGGAAATGTAAACGCTGCTTTATTTGCACATCTTTTATACAATAATCCAGTTTTGTGCAAAAATTTTATTCGCATCTTTGGATGGAAACATAGCTATTGTTAAGTCATAATTGAAATTGGAAAATATAAACAAAGAAGTTGTTTTACGGTGAAAAAAGCTTCCATGAATGTACAATTTTCCCAATAAATGAACAAAAAAAAAAAACTTCCCTGCAGTTACCACACATTCAATTTGTCTTTGGCCAGTACTCTTGCTTAGTCTACCTATAAATGTTTAGGCTTGACTGTTTGTTTGCCGAATTCTATTCTGATTACTTGGATTCCAGAATATATATCCTAAGGCCACACTCTATCTCTGCCTTGATCTGCTACTTGGCACTATTGTTGCAGCTCCAGGATTTTAATTAACTCAGGGGTTGTATTGGGGAGGTGCTTTCAAAAAGTGTCTTTTGTAAAACATCTTTTTCTGCCGGGGGGGTCCAAGAGGTCCTGATACTCTGGGAGCGTTTAGCGATGTGGGATCTTTGATCAGGACAATCACACACCAAAAAAGCCGACGTCATCGGTGCATGATGTCAGCATACCACTTCCAGAGCTGTTACTCTCATAGCAACGGGTGATTGGAAATGACCAGGGAAAGGGAGAGAGAGAGGAAACTGTATTATATAGAGAGATCTCAGACACGTTATGACTGTTTGCCAAGTGCAAACTGTCTGGAGTACTAGAACCTGTTTTAACAGACCTTCATTTTATTGTCTAGGACGTTTTTTAGCTAAAGTCTGCAAAGAGTACTCAGTCATTCCATGTCCAAACACAGCAGCTCACGTCTAAATATACAGAAGGATTCAAGCAATGATTTAGACTGACAGCCAGAATGTTGGTGGGCCGGGAGAACAAATTTGAGTTTGAGAGAGTGTTCCTGTCTGTCTGTGTGTGTGTGTGTGTGTGTGTGTGTGTGTGTGTGTGTGTGTGTGTGTGTGTGTGTGTATTTGTATGTAGTTTAGATCAATGCTTTTATATTACTATCACTTGTGTTTTCTGCATAAAGATGTACTAATTATTATTATTACTTATTATTTATATTTAGTCACAAATTAAGATGCACTACCATTCAAAAATATGGATAAAGAACATATACAGTTGAAGTCAGAATTATTAGCTACCCCCCCCCCCCCCCCCCCCCCCCCGTTTATTTTTCCCCTAATTTCTGTTTAACGGAGAGCAGATTTTTTTTTCAACACATTTCTAAACATAATAGTTTTAATTAATTTCTAATAACTGATTTATTTTATCTTTGCCATAATGACAGTACATAATATTAGACTAGATATTTTTCAAGACACTTCTATACAGCTTAAAGTGACATTTAAAGGCTTAACTAGGTTAATTAGGTTAACTATGCAGGTTAGGGTAAAAATTAGTCAAGTTATTGTATAACAACAATTTTTTTTTTTTTTGTAGACTATCGAAAAAATAAATAGCTTAAAGGAGCTAATAACTTTGACCTTAAAATGTTTTTTTTTTAAAAATGAAAACTGCTATTATTCTTGCCGAAATAAAGCAAATAAGACTTTCTCCAGAAGAAAAAGTAATACTAGACATACTGTGAAAATTTCTTTGTTCGGTTAAACATAATTTGGGAAATATTTAAAAAAGAAAAAAATAAATTCAAAAGGCGGCTAGTATTTCTGACTTCAACTGTATATAAAGACTAATACTTTTATTCAGCAACATTATTAATATCAATAACCATTATTAAAAATTAAGCACTGCTATAACTGTTCATTTTTCTAATACTGCCTTTTGTATTTGATAAATGTACTATAGACATAGGATATTAAAGTATCAAAAGTTATATTACAAGATCTGAAGCCATTAAAGAGCTCCTCTTTTACCTCTTTTTCCAAGATTTAAGATGAGTATTTTGTGTCTCCAGAATATGTCTGTAAAGATACAGCTCAAAACACCCATCAGATTATTTACTATACCTTTCAGAATATTGGATTTTTTGCTCTGAACACAATGTAGCTGTTTTTGTTGCCTGTGCCTTTAATGCTAATTCTCCATGCCCACCGTTCCCATGTGCCTGTCAGTGTGTCTCCGTGTCTGGCTGCGTCAGATAAACAGCACAGTGACAGACATGAAGGAAGCAGATTTCACATAATGTTTGTGAGAAATACTACAGTAAGAACTTTACCAATGATTATTTGATGTATCTGTTGTGGAGTTAATGCAAGCCTTTCTGCAATGGGTCACACATAATGTTGTTACAATGTTCACGCACAGTGTTTGCACGTCAAATGTTACAGGATACATTTTAATATCCACTGCTGTATGATTATCCGTTATGTTTATGTACAAAATAATCCTGATTTAACGTCCACAAACTGCGATTGAAGCGTCTTCTTTTATAATTGTACTGACATGCGGCTTTGGTGATAAAGTAAAGACGGTAAAATTGCTGTAATTCATTACAAACATGCACTGTTTTAAAAATGTTTTAAACTTGTAAAACTCTTTCTTAATCACATTTGATGATGATTTAAAATCACAGAGAGCTGAACAGATCTTTTAATCTTAGCTGCTTTATGCACATCCTGTCTTGTTGATATAATTATACGTGTTACTATAGAGACGTTAATATGTGGCTGTCAATCAATTTGGTGGGCAGGGCCTTAAAATGGGAGGGATTTTA